ACTGTGAGCGAACAGTGGCGTCAGCATCAGCAGCAGGAGCAGGAGAGGCACCAGAGGTGAGGTCAAAGAGGGAGAGACCGTCTGCCCTATCGCACTGTAAGAGCAGCTGCAGGTCATCTACCTAGACGTCAAAGTCAATGGCTCGACCCTCGGCGTCAAAAGCGAGGACACTAGGGGTAGCCATGACAACAGTAGACTAGCAGCGCACACAGTAGGGAAAGGGCAGTGCAGTGACAGAGTCGGTGTGCTTACCGGACGGGGCTGCTCGGGCGGCTCGGAGGCTCGGTGGCTCGGCTGCACGGTGGCTCGGCTGCCGGGCGGCTCGGCTGCTGGGCGGCTCGGCTGCAGGGCGGCTCGGCTGCTCGGCTGCTGGGCGGCTCGGCTGCAGGGCGGCTCGGCTGCTCGGCTGTCCGGTTGCTCAGCTGCTGGGCGGCGCGGCTGTGCTGCTGTACGGCGGTGCGGCGGTCGGTTGCTCGGCTAGGTGAGGCGGCTCGGGCGGCTCGGGTGGCGGGAGGCGCTGCAGCAGATGACGAGGCCGCAGGGAAGGCGGCGGGGCCGCAAGTGAGGGCGGCTGGGACCGCAATTAAGGGCGGCGGGGGCCGCAGGTAAGGGCGGCAGGGACCGCGGGTGAGGGCGGCGGGGCCGCAGGTAGGGCGGCTGGGCCGCAGGTAGGGCGGCTGGGCCGCAGGTAGGGCGGTTGGGCCGCAAGTAGGGCGGTGGGGCCGCAGGTAGGGCGGCTGGGCCGCAGGTAGGGCGGCGGGGCGGTGCCGTAGGTAGGGCGACGGGGCCGGGTCGAAGGTAGGGCGACGGGGCCGGTACGCAGGTAGGGCGACGGGGCCGGGGCCGGGGCGCAGGTAGGGCGACGGGGCCGGGGTCGGAGGTGGGGCGACGGGGCCGGGGTCGCAAGCAGGGCGACGGGGCCGGGGCCGGGGCGCAGGTAGGGCGACGGGGCTAGGGCCGGGGCCGCAGGTATGGCGACGGGGCCAGGGTCGCAGTTAGGGCGACGGGGCCGGGGCGCAGGTAGGGCGACGGGGCCGAGGCGCAGGTAGGGCGACGGGGCCGGGGCCGTAGGTAGGGCGACGGGGTCGCTAGGGCGACGAATCAGGGGCCGCTAAGGCGGCGCGACTTGGCCGCTAGGGCGTCTCGACGAAGTCAGAGACGGGAGCGCGACTCGGGCTGAGCGCGCTCCGGGCTGGAAAAAAAAACTTTCGACTTGGTGGGCCCTAGGCACAGTTCCCAGGAGGGAACCTGCTCGATACCATGAGAAAACTGAAACGAGAATGGGACACTAAGGAATGGAATGTGGTACAAATATGCAACCCTAGAAATGTGTACCCCATATGGGCTACCCCACTACAGCCTACAGAACATCATGATTTGACACTGACGTCTTCCTTTTGTGCCTTTCTTCTTGTAGGTCCATGTCTTGCTGCTCGGCATGAATTTCGGAGCAAAGTGCTGCTTCGGAGATTCTTCCGTGAGCTCAGAGAATGGCTTTTGTGGCACGCCATTGAGGACCGAGGCCGCCAATGATGACTCTCACGGAGGCGTCTTCAGATATCGACCCTCCGCATCAAAGGAGTTTGTCGCGCAATTCGCGATAGCGACTGATATACGCCATCCCCTTTTCCCCTGGTTTCATTTTGACTGTTGTCAGTTGCGCCATTAGTCGACTCTGACTTACGCTGTCTGTTGCTTGGTACAGGCTTTTCAAGTGGCTGTATGCGAGTTCTGCGGAGTTGCCGTATCCCCGGTAAGACCGTATATTCTGTTGCCGAGTCGGGGTGATATTCCTCGGTAGGATTGTGTACGCCATCATTGACTGATAGGTGTACTGCTGCTTCTCGTACTGTGTGCCGTTTGTTGGGTATGGCAGGGATCCGTTGAAGAAGCCGAGGATTTGCGCGCCTTCCATCATCAGCTCGAGCTCGAATGACCAGATAAAGAAGTCCTTTCCGTCGAAAGGTCTTGACGTCTGCAACTTCAAAACGTGCGCGAACTGTGACTGAACTTGTAGCGCGTCCAGTGTCTTCTCTTGTCCAGGTGCAGGCTGCGGTTGTGGCATAAAACTGACGGAGCCGCGGTGGGGCTCGTACGGAGCAAAGGTAGGTTGCTGCTGTTGATTTCCACGTGCGTAGGATGAACCATCAAGGCTCATTGGAGTTACGTCGTTGTTGTTGTTGCTGTTGTGTGACTGCGCAGGTGCCGATTGCTGGTGTTGCTCGTAGAAGGACATGAAGGAGAAAAACTTCTCCATCATGCTCTGGTCGAAGCCTGCAGGTTGATTCGCGGGAGTCTCGGTGGATGTTGCCCTGGGTCTTGTTGCCGTACCCTCCTCTCTCTGTAGGCCAGAGGCAGGAGGTGGAGTAGGAGTAGTGCCGGGAGAACCAATAGAGGAACTCCTTTCCTTCTGAGTAGTCATGTTTTCTGATGTTGTAGGTGTCTTGATAGTTGAATCCCCCCTGATAGCTCTCATACCATGTTGGGCTGAGAAAATAGCCCTTAGGATCTTTGCACGGGTGAACTCTGGGTAGAACTGATGTAGTAGCGGAAACGTTTAATGAAGAGTTGTGAACCACCTTGCGCTAGTATATGAGGGCAAAGTTGATTGATTAAAGCAAAGAGATACAAGATTATATATGAATACAGGGAATATTCAAAGACACAGTTATAACTACTTTACTGTTGCTGTTGCGGTTCGATACAGTGACGACTCGGGCAACTGCTCTGTAAAGAGTTAGTCGTGTGTCCTTGCTGCCGCGCTGTACTTGTCAGGTCAAAGGTCGCTGACCTTTGACTTTCGCGTAGCCTCCGACAGTTGCTTCAACCTCTGAGGGTTGACTCGCTGGTGCTTCGATAATGTTTTGCTTCGATAGTGTTTTGCTTCGCTTGGGTCTTGGTGTTTCAACACGACAGAGGCGCTTAAGTTAGTTGTTTCCAACAAATGTCTTAGTGTTGCACCAAATCAAGACCAGTTGGAAAAATCATGTGGCATGGCAGGGATCGCGTGGGCTGGGCTAAAAGTAATGACAGGTGGAGGCAGTTGAGATGAGATGAGACTACATTTTGTAATGCTTCCTTTCAGACCCCTGGACTTTCATTGCATCAGAGACCAAGTGGTTGATTCTGTCATCTTCTTTAAAATATTGTGTCTTTGCATAGAGCTGTTAGTACAGAAAGTAAACGTGGTGCTTTGTTTCTTCTGTACCTGTAATCGAGTCAATACAAACGCAGAGCTCTCCGTGCTTACCCTTTCACCCGCACAAGGGCCATTCCTGCCTGATCTCAAAATGTACTTTTTGCCACGTCACATCATATCCATTCATCACATTGCAGTGTGCAAGAGTAGGGTAGAACTTCTAGCAGTGAATTGCTCGTCCATTGGCCAGACACGCGACGCGATTTGCTAAGCCTGCGCTGCTGTAACGCGAGAGCGTGTGTGGGTGGGTGTGTGTTTTACCGTTTGAATGTGCTGCAATGGCAGCTGCAATGCGATCGTGCTGCCATCTGCCGTGCGCTCCGGCCCTTGGGAATGACGGGCACGAAACGCGTCGCTTTGGCGCCTTTCAGGGTAAGGCGATTCGCGGGAGCGGCACAATGTACTCACCTGTCAAATGCGCGTATCGAACTGCCGAAATTGACTCGATAGCGGGGACAGGGAGAAGACCAGCAGCTGGTCGACCATTTCGAGTCGTCACCGCGAGGTTACCATCGGGTTTTGCGGGGCCTCAAGACGGAAGGCTAGCAGCAAGACCGTCAATTGCGGGGAAGTTGCGACTGGCGGAGGCAACGCGATCCGCTGCTCCTGGCGCGCGGGTCAAAGCGCACGCCTTGGCATGGCGGAGCGGAGACGGGCGGGGGGGAAGCGGGGGTAATGACGGAAGGGGGAGAGGGGGCGGCGGCGGAAGAGGGGGAGATGGAGGCGGAGGGGGAGGCGGAGGAGAGGATAATGGAAACGACGGAGGTTGCGGAGGGCAAGGTGGTAACCAGCAGGAACATGGTTACTTGTTCCTATTGAAGCTGTTTTCTGATTGGTCCAACTCCCGTCTCGACGCCCTCTCTCCTCTATTCCACAACCGCCTAATCACGTTTCCGAGCGCATTATCACTCTCCGCATTTCTGCTTATCATGCTTCCGCTGCTCGTCTCCCCGCTAGCGCGCGCGGAATCCGCGCTTCTCCGCCGCCCTGCGCCTCCCCCTGCGACCGGCGCGCCCGCGGCCGACCAGGATGTGATATGGGAGCTCCACGGTGACAGGTGGCGGCGCCTGATTGGCGGAGACAGCAGCAGCAGCAGCAGCGCAAGCAGCAATAGGGGGAAGGGCCAGCTAAGGGTGGAAGTTGAATTGGAAGGCGAGGAAGCTGCTAACGCGTACGAGGAGGAACACGGACGCGTTGTAAAGGGGATCGTTACAAGCACGGGGAATGGCAATGGGAAGGCCGCAGGGGGTAGGGTTTTAGCGGGGGAGGAGGATGAGCGGAGCAGAGGGGGGGATATGGTTGCGCGGGTGGTGAGGGGAGTGAAAGCGGCGGTGGTGAGATGGATGTTACCAGAGGGTTATCCCGATAGTGTGACTCCTGACTATATGGAGTACACAGTGTGGCGCATGCGGCAAACAGTGGCGAGCGAAATGAACCACGTGCTTACAACGCAGGTGAGACGCGTTTCTATGTCGCAGGCTCCTTCAATTGAGGTCTGTTTGCTATGTCTAAGAACCTTTCTCTCCCCTGCCCTCCTCTCTCCGTCCTTTTCCTCACCTGAAGCCCTTCCTTCTCTCTCTTCTCTCAAACGGTCCTTCGTGGTAAAGGACGGGCTGGGCTATGCAGCCGAGGTCACGCCCTCCCAGTTCAACATGTTGCATCCCTTCCCCCTCGAACGGTCCTTGCATTAATCACGGTGGGTGTTACAAGGAAGGTACAAACACAAGTAAGACAAACAACCAGACCACAGTTCTACCTATCACACCTACTCCTTCCCACTCCCGGCCCCCTCTGTCCGACCCTACTGGCCGAATGGGGGCTCAATCAGCTGGTGCAGCTGTCCCTCGCTAAGAGGGACGATGGGGCCCTGCATGCCGAGCTCGTCCGCTGCCAAGGCCTCGTTGGTCTTGGAGCGGAGGGCATTGGCCTGCGCTCCCTGGAGGCAGACACTCCAGTGCTGGCGGTACTCCGTCAGCAGCTTGGCTGCCTCGTATGAGGTAGGTGCTGAGTTGTATCGCAGCTTGGCCGCTAGCTCCGCGCACTGCCGCAGGTAAGCCATCACCCCCGGGGAAGGACAGCCGTATGTCTCGACTGCAAGGGCGTGGAAGCCCACCCACGCGTTCCGTCGCGCGTATTTCTCCTCCTTCCTAGCTGCTGCCGGCCCTTGCCGCCCACCCTGGAGCCCGACTGCATTCTTTATCCTGGTAGGACACGGGATCAGTCACAGTCACGTCACACAACCACACTCTCTCCCTCTCTTTCCCCCCTCTCTTCCCTCTCTCCCTCCCTCCCTTTCTCTCTTCCCTCTCTCGCTTCCCTCCCTCTCTTCCCTCTCTCCCTCCCTTTCTCTCTTCCCTCTCTCACTTCCCTCCCTCTCTTCCCTCTCTCTTCCCTCTCTCGCTTCCCTCCCTCTCTTCCCTCTCTCCCTCCCTTTCTCTCTTCCCTCTCTCGCTTCCCTCCCTCTCTTCCCTCTCTCCCTCTCTTCCCTCTCTCTCTCTCTTTCTCTCTTCCCTCTCTCGCTTCCCTCCCTCTCTTCCCTCTCTCCCTTCCTTTCTCTCTTCCCTCTCTCGCTTCCCTCCCTCTCTTCCCTCTCTCCCTCCCTTTCTCTCTTCCCTCTCTCGCTTCCCTCCCTCTCTTCCCTCTCTCCCTCCTGCAGGCAATGCTGTACGCGGTGGGGCTGGGAAAAGGCGCCATCCCAGCAGCAGCCGCGGTCAACTGGGTGCTGAAAGAATCCAAAGTCACGCTCTCCCAGTTCAACCTGGAACCATTCGTCTCTCCTCCCTCTCTTCCCACTTTCTCTTCCCTCCTCGCCTCTCCAGGCAATGCTGTACGCAGTGGGGCTGGGCAAGGGCGCCATCCCAGCAGCAGCCGCGGTCAACTGGGTCCTAAAAGACGGGCTGGGCTACGCTGCAAAAGTCACGCTCTCCCAGTTCGGCCGCCATTTCGACGTCTCCCCCAAGCGCTCGCGCCTGCTCTCCGACCTCTTTGAGAACCTCTCCGCCTCCCTCGAGCTCCTCACAGCCACCTTCCCGCAGTACTTCGTCCAGCTGGCCGCTGCAGCCGGGGCAGGGTTCTCTGCTTCCAGCCTCGTGCAGAGCGCCACGAGAAACCGGTTCTACGCCGGGCTGGCAGGCAGAAGAAATTTCGCCGAGGTAAGGCAGCACCTTAGGTCGGGCAGGTGAGAGTGCCGATGCGAGCAAGTGAGATTGCCGATGTGGGCAGGTGAGAGGGCCTGTTGAGGGACATTCCCTCACTCCGACCTCGTTGAGAATCTCTCCGCTTCCCTCGAGCTCCTCACGGCCACCTTCCCGCAGTACTTCGTTCAGCTGGCCGCCGCTGCCGGGGCGGGGTTCTCTGCCTCGAGCCTCGTGCAGAGTGCCATGAGAAACCGGTTTTATGCCGGGCTGGCAGGCAGAAGAAACTTTGCCGAGGTGAGATTCAACGCTGTCTTGGGAGCCAATGGGGCCAGGAGGGGGGATATGCTCCCTCCTTGGACTTTCTTACCTTCTATAATCCTGGCTGGGGTTGTATGGGTTCAAATTGCAGAAAGCCTTCAAAAAAGGCCTAACATTTATATCGGTGCTTTTATAGGCGTGTGCTGGGAATGGAAGTAAGCGGCTCTTATGGTTTTCAGGTTCACGAGTCACATGTCTTAACTCGTCAGCCTTTCATCCCCCTTCTTCTTCCCCAACCCAACCACCCCGAGTGTTGGTGTGTGCGCGCAGAAGCACAGCCGCACAGGGCATGGTGAGCATCGAGCAAGACATTGGAGATAGCAGTAGGCGTCATTACTTTTGAGGCGCCTCAAAGACAGGGCAAGATAATTGGAATGGCATGAGGCCTCGCCATCGCCCCACACATGGGCACAATAGGCCCGGTGCTGTGCTCCTCTCATTACGCTCCCCGTGTTCTCCCTTCCACTCCACCCTGCCTTCCTCTCCCACAGGTGCTAGCACGTGCAGAGGCACAGGGCATGGTGAGCAAGACATTGGGGATGGCCCTGGGTATCGCCATCTCTCCACACGTGGGCACCCGGGGCCCTCTGCTGTGTGCGACGCATGCCGTGCTGTCCGAACCGAACCTTTCGTGTGCTTTCTCTGACTGTTCCTCCTTTTCATCTCCCCCCAGGTCTTGGCGCGGGCAGAGGCACAAGGCATGGTGAGCAAGACATTGGGGATGGCTCTAGGCATCGCCATTGCTCCTCACGTAGGCACCAGGGGTCCTCTGCTGTGGCTGATCCACGCATGCCCTGCTGTCCGGCCCACCCATGTGATTGTACTTCACTTTCTGCTCCTCCCCTTCCTCTCCCCACAGGTGCTAGCACGCGCAGAGGCACAGGGCATGGTGAGCAAGACATTGGGCATGGCCCTGGGTATCGCCATTGCTCCTCACGTGGGCACGAGGGGTCCTCTACTCTGGGCAACACACGCCCTGCTGTCCGAACCCAACCATTTGTGTGTTTTCTCTGACTGTTCCTCCTCTTCCTCTCCCCTCAGGTGCTAGCACGCGCAGAGGCACAGGGCATGGTGAGCAAGACATTGGGGATGGCACTAGGCATCGTCGTTGCTCCTCACGTGGGCACCCGGGGCCCTCTACTGTGGGCAACTCATGGCCTGCTGTCCGCCGCCCACCTGTTTTGCAACTACCCGCTCGTACAAGGCCGTTCAACTCAGGACGCTCAACCCCTTCAGAGCAGGTAAAATAAGTACTTGCTTGCAGGAAGCCTCACAAGCATTCAATCCAGTGGATTCAGAAGCAGATAGTTACTTCCAGAGCAGCTATTGTCATGTCATGTCTTTGAGCTGTAACCACAATTGTTTTTTAGGCGCCTCAAAAATCATCTCAAAAAGTTTGAGGCGCCCCAAAAACATTCGCCAGAGCAGCGACCGTCGTGTCTTTGAGCTGTAAGGCACGACGGTCGCTGTAAGCACAACTCAATTAGTTCCCTCCTTCACCTGTTTCTGTCTAAGTAGCTTGCTCCGCTGCGCTGTCCTCTCTGCTTCCCCTGTGCTCTCTTCTACCACTGTTCTTTCCCCAGATATTGTCCTGGCAGAGTACGTGGCCAATGGCAGGGTGCCAGGTGTCATCGAAGTCAACTCCCAGGAACCCATTCTGCCGCCCCTCAAATCGATATTTTCGCCCAAGGTATCTCTGGTGTGGTGCATGTGTGATGTATGTGTGGTGCATGTATGTATGGTGCATGTGCATTGCATGTGCGTTACAAGTGCCACTTAGCTGCAGTGCCTCACTCACACAGAGAGATCTCATCCCTCCTTCTCCCCTTTCTCTCTTCACAGGCGTCCCCTCCACCTCTCCCCGGCACAGGTAGCGAGAACTGGATTGAGTTCGGAGTGCCCTTGGCAAGTAGGCAGCAGTGGCTCACACAGACAGACGTCTCAACACTCCCTTACTCCCATTCCACCCGAACCCCCTCCCCTCCTCCCCTTTCCAGGCCTCTCCCCCTCCTCGTCCAGGCACAGGCAGTGAGAACTGGATCGAGTTCGGAGTGCCCTTGGCAGCAGTGGCGCAAAAAGAGACCTCTCAACCCCCTCATTCCCCCCTCTCCACCCGTTCCCCTCCCCCGCCCCTTCTCCGCGTCCCCTTTCCCAGGCGTCTCCTCCACCCCTTCCCGGCACAGGGAGTGAGAACTGGATCGAATTTGGGGTGCCCTTGGCCGCAGTGGCGCACACAGAGCGGGAGGCTGAGACCATGGCTGATATATTCCGAGGAGAGAAGTACCTGCTTGGGCGGGACGAGCGTACGGGGGCAGATGCAGGTGCGTGTGCTGCTGCGCATGCTTGTGTTTTGAGATGGGAGTGAGGCACACAGGTGTGCTGTGCTGTGATGTGCAGTGGGAGGAGGCAGAGGCGGTGGCTGGGATGGGATATGCCGAGGAGAGAAGTACCTCCTTTGACAGGACGAGCGTACAGGGCAGATGCAGGTTCATGCTGTGTGCATCTGTGTGCGTGGGTGGGTGGGAGAAACGGGAATGTGTGGGGGCCTGCAGGTTGTGTTGAAAGAGGGATCTGTCTAGGGACCTCCTCCGGGCGGCCTTACAAATCCGGCCACCTCCGCATGTGTGCCTCCTCGTCTCAATCCCGTCCCTTCCACCCCTGACACTCACCATGCAGGTTGTGTTAAGGGTGTCACGCCGCCGCACGGAGGAAGTCTCGAAAGAGATCCCTCTCTTGAAAGAGCACCATGCAAGTTGAGCTAGAAGAGGGATCTACTTCGGGACTTCCTCTGTGCGGCGCTCCAAGCAGACTACCTCTCCTCTTCCTCTCACATCCATTCCTTCTCCTCTTACCTCCATGCATTCTCACCCCTGTCACTCACCAGGCTGTGTTGAAAGAGGAGGCTCTACCTCGGGACTTCCTCCGAGCGGCCTTACAAGCCGCCTACCTCTGCACGCTTGCCCCACTTTTTTGAGGCGCCTCACTTTCTCTTAGTGCTGCTGCCCTTCCAACCATGAGTGACGACGGTCTTACAAGCCGCCTACCTCTGCACGCTCGCCCCACACCCCCTCTGCCCCACCATCCACTCTTTCTGCCCACTGCAAGCTGTCTGCATCTAGATTCTCACCTCTTGCTTTCCCACCCACCCCTATCTGTCACCCACCATCCAGGTTCTGTTGAAAGAAGGAGCTCTCCCTCGGGACTTCCTCCGGGCTGCCCTCCAATCCACCTGCCTGCCGCTAGATTGATCTCCTCGTTCCATCGCCATGCCTCCTCACCCCACGCACTCACCATCCAGGTTCTGTTGAAAGAAGGAGCTCTCCCTCGGGACTTCCTCCGGGCTGCCCTCCAATCCACCTGCCTGCCGCTAGATTGATCTCCTCGTTCCATCGCCATGCCTCCTCACCCCACGCACTCACCATGCAGGTTGTGTTGAAAGAAGGAGCTTTCCCTTGGGATTTCCTCCGGGCTGCCCTCCAATCCACCTGCCACTAAATAATCTCCTCGTTACAACCGCCATTCCTCCTCACCCCACGCACTCACCATGCAGGTTGTGTTGAAAGAAGGAGCTCTTCCTTGGGATTTCTTCCGAGCGGCCCTGCAAGGCGCCTACCTCCGCACTCTCTCTCCACACCTCTTGCCTTCTCACCCCTATCAACCACTCACCATTCTTCTTGCAGGTAGTGTTGAAGGAGGGGGCCCTCCCAAAGGACTTCCTCCGAGCGGCCCTACTAGCCGCCTACCTCCGCACGCTCTCTCCACACGTCCTCTGCCCCACCATCCACTCTTTCTACCCACCATCCATGCAGGTAGTGTTGAAGGAAGGAGCAGTCCCTCGGGACTTCCTCAGAGCGGCCCTGCAAGCCGCCTACCTCCGCACTCTATCTCCACACGTCCTCTGCCCCACCATTCATTCCCTCGCCCCCCAAGCGCGCACCCACGTCCAAGCCCGCGCCGCCGAGTTTTCCTCCTTGGGGAAGCAGATCAAGGTGCTGCATGCTCTCCTCTTCCCCTCACATCTATTCCTTCTCCTCTCATCCCCATGCCTTCTCACCCCTGCAACCACCATCCATGCAGGTAGTGTTGAAGGAGGGGGCACTCCCAAGGGATTTCCTCAGAGCGGCCCTGCAAGCCGCCTACCTCCGCACCCTCTCTCCACACGTCCTCTGCCCCACCATCCACTCTCTCGCACCCCAAGCGCGCACCCACGTCCAAGCCCGCGCAGCCGAATTCGCTTCCTTGGGGAAGCTAGAGGTGCTGCATGCTTCGTATGACCGCATGGCTGCGGGGTTTGATGGGTTGTGTGAGGCGCTGAGAGCGAATGGGTGGCGCTGTGACGATGGCTTGTTGGCTCGGCCAGGAGACTGGCGACTGCTGCTGGCACCTGAGGAGAAGAGGAAATGAGGGGTGCAAGTGAAGCCGAATTCGCCTCTGCTGGATTCACTTGCACTGCCCCACCTGAAAATTGCACCCCCAGCTCCCAAAAATCCCTCACTTGTGCCTTTAAAGGCAGGGTGCAACTTCTTAGGAACATTAGGGGGACAAAAATGGCATGTGATTAACTTGAATTCTATTGGACGAAAAAGCTGAAAATCCACAAGAGGACAAACCTCTCGCCTCTGAACTGCCTCGGTCAACCATCTTCCAAGCTATAATACTTCGAAATGAGGGAGGCGATTGGTGGCTGCTGCTGGCACCTGAGGAGAAGAGGAAGTGAGGGGTGCGAGTGCAGCAGCCTTTGCATTCTTGGGGAAATCAGATAGAGGTATTGCATGCTTCGTATGGTGGCCCGGCCGGTGGGCGATTGGTGGCTGCTGCTGGCACCTGAGGAGAAGAGGAAATGAGGGGTGCAAGTGCAACTGCAGCCGAGTTAGCCTCTTTCGAGAAGCTAGAGATGCTGCATGCTTCCTTTGGCCGCATGGCGGGAGGGTTTGATGGGTTGTGTGAGGCGCTGAGAGCGAACGGGTGGCGCTGTGACGATGGCTTGCTGGCGCGGCCGGGAGACTGGCGACTGCTGCTGGAATCAGTGAATAAGAGGAAGTGAGGGAGGGATGGGAGGGCGCATGCCTCATGAGCGCATGGCAAGGAGGGGCGGAGAGGGGGGGGGGGGGGGGGGGGGGGGGGGGGGGGGGGGGGGGGGGGGGGGGGGGGGGGGGGGGGGGGGGGGGGGGGGGGGGGGGGGGGGGGGGGGGGGGGGGGGG